GTGAAGGATGGAAAATGAACCAGTAAACAAACACTGCAACATATAGTCTGAATCCATATATGTAAAAAAACAGAACCAGAAAAGGGGACACTATGTTGAAGTGTCTGAATCCAAATGTAGAAAACAAAAGTCGCGTGAAGTGTGAAGCGTAGGAGGCATGTGAGTGATAAAAATAAATAAATAAATAAAATCTAGGAAATGGACACTACAACACAGCGTCTGAATTCAAATGTAAAAAATAGAACCATGATATAGACGTTGTGCTGAAGTGCCAAAATTCGTATTGACCTATTCCAACATATAAAAAAATATGAGAAATGAGGATGTTAGTTGAAGTGGGTGTCAGCTGTAGTAGTAGATTTTGTAATTTTTGTTTATTTTAAATACATTTAAGTATCATAATATATGATTGAACGATTTATAATTAACACAAATATTGTTAATATATTTTTTATAGTGAAACTTTTTATTGATTTTATACAAAATCAACCTATATATATTATAAAAAAAATTAAAAAAAGGTTAAAAGAGTGGCCTACTTGCAACTCTTAGAGCACTTCTAGTGTAGGAAGGCCCCATACGGACAGAAAGTACAATTTTTATGAACAGATTTCAATAAGATTTTTAACCAATTTCATCCTACGACGTGTCCTTACCTATTTAGAATTGTTGAAAATATTGAAATGTGGTGTAAGGTGGGAGAAAATGGTAAGGTATTTATAAAAAATAAATAAATAAATATTTTTTTTTAATTTTGTCGGATTTTTAATTAGTTTTAAAAACAAATTTATTAACTTGATTAATATGGACTATCGAATTACAAAAAATTTGAAATCCAATAGTCCAGAATGAGATACGTGGCCCACCCAAACATTTCTTATTTTTATTCTTTTTCTAAAAAAAATTTAAAGCTAAAAAAACTAGACCGTTGATCTAGAAATCAAATGGTTCAAATTCAAAATGACTAAGTGGGGCTGACACACGGGCCCCATCATCTTAAAATATGCCCGAGACATGCCCTCACGCGCTTGACACAAAAAATTTATAATGTGGCTGACGTCAGCCTTGCATCACTCCCCCTCAAGCAGTCGAGCCTTGGACTCCCGCTTGCCCTCTCCCACGTACTCCCCCTTAGCCCAATTGCCCGAATGGGCTATGAGCTAGTTTAGGAGGGGATTGGATTGCAAATAGAGCTTGTCCACTGGGCTAAAGAGCACGCTAGAAGTGCTTTTACTCACATAAAGAAAAATTTATGGACTTGATGTACTAGAAAGTACTTTTTGATGATCAAATTACTGTATGATTATTCTTGTAAGTACTAATTTTTTAAAATGGTCTTAGATTTTTAGTTGAAGGAAATACTAATGTGGTAAGGCAGGTAACTCGTTTACCATTGGGGACGATGGTGAATTCCTAATTTGAAATTACGAGTATGAAGGCGAGAATGAAGTGAAAATACTTGAGGGAGATAGAGATAAAGATGAGAATGGCATTACCCATCATCGCTTTGACTCATTGCCAATCCTGCGCTCATGTTTCCTAGGGTTTCAAAGCCTAAGCCTTGCCCAAATCCCAATCCCAAAACGCAACACACATGCGAAATAATTTCCAAAAACAAATAGTCTTCGCATCACCGACAAATTCTTAGCGGAGAAGGAAAGAGATGTCCCAACGAAATATCCTGCATGCAATCAACAAATTGTAGTTAATTAAATGTGGGCAACTTACCACCGCAGCAAAGTGACAAAGTATCCAAAAATCCCAAACACATGGGGTGAATAATGTGTGTCGACATGCACCTCTGTATACGTTTTGGTAACCAGAAATTAATCTCTGGCAACCAACCAACCACATGAATGTTGGGACCAAATAATAGCCCATGCACCTGCCTCTTTTAGCGTTTACTGTTGCCCTCTAAACAAGTCAAAGTAATGGAGTTAAATTTGTCTCCCTTTCCCAGCTGAACAAGTTTGAGCATGATTCACTAACTTCGACATTTCCTCCCAACTACACTACCTACTTCTAACGTATTCAGTAAGAAAACCAAATTCCAAATATATATGTATAGAGCATGGGAAAGGGATGATCTCTACGCGCGTTGTTACCTCAGCACCACTTATGGTTTTTCCTTTCTTAATCGATGGGGATAGGAGAGATTTAGAGCCAAGATTGGAGAAAGAATGACCACACACTTGTACAAGAAGTACCACACATAAGGGTTTTGCGAGATTAGCCTCTTTATCATTGTCTAAATATGCATAGCGCCAACCCTCTTTTGGAGAAAAGAGGATCTGACCAATCACCACAAGATCAAAACCTACATAGCCAGTTTGTAGTAGTTTCGTTAACAATATTTCATTACAAAGCGTGTTCGTCCAAAAGATATTACTTATGAAAATGCACTTATAAAGTGTGTTTTAAAACGTCTCTTAGTTAGATCTAGGTCTCCAATGATACAAAAAGCGTTTTTGTGTGTCAGAAAGCATGCAATTTGATTCAACGTTATAAGTTAACAAAAAAAACCCCAACTAACTAATCATACTACTGAGTTTGAGAGACTCTTGCATGTCCCTGGAGTTATATTCCTTTCTTCCATATCACTCATTATAATCACATGAGATTTAGGAAGAGAGGGATACACGCTTAGGGAAAACTGAAGTCTTTCCTCTTAATTAATTTGGAGATATCCAATTGGTAAATATTTGTTTGTGTTTTGGGAGAGTTATGGTATCTTATGTATAGGCCTCAACTACTTGGGGGTTAGATTGATATGTCTCACAAAGTAACAAATCAATGATCACTACGAGAGACCAGCCGAGTACCTGGTTAATTAGCCGTTGTAAATGATAACGTTGTTGATTCTCTGATATTCTTTCAACCCTAAACCATAATTGGTAGGGTCTCTATCTAGCTAATCCAGCTACTTAAAAACAAATGAGTTGTTTGGTTTCACATGATCAAACCAGGGAAGGTAATTAACTAAAATAATACAAAATTAATGCTTTCGGGAAATGATGTTTAAGTAATACGACATGTAGCACAGTTGCGGAAAATACGAAATTGAGCAGTTTTGAGCACGCATGCATCTGGTCAGAATAAGCCATGCTTACAGCTTAATTAATTTGGATTTTCCAAACTAAACCAACCCAGAATTTGCATACATTATCCCTTGCCTTGCACTATTTGGAATTTTGGAGCAATGTGAACCAATCTACATACACCATAACAAAACTTGTGTCTTATGGCCTCATAATATTATAATTGATGGTTTTAATATTAAGTAAGAAGATATTTATAGTGGCTCAATATTTATCTAATTCATTATTGTACAATTATATACTCTAGTTTTTTTTTTTTTGGACGTAATTATATACTTTAGTTGTTTTGGACAATTGACATGACAATCTAGTCGCTATGGTTTGGACTAAGATTCTTTCTGGATTTCTTTCATTCGGATCCTTCAATTATGGAGCTAGAGAGAGAGAGATATGAAAAAAAGGGAAGAAGAGGGAAGAAAATGAACAAAAGAAGGTTAAAATGTAAGAAGATGAAAGGTGATAAACATGAGAAGGTGAAGATGGACGAAGATGAACAAGAGAAGATGAAGGTGAACAGGAAATTAATTCTTGACCGTTTGATTTTCGGTTGAACGAAGATGAATAAAGAATCTAAAAGATCCGAATAGAAGAGATCTGGAGAGGATCATATTCCTTTGAGTTTATTTATTTTTGTGTCTCTTTTCCTTTGTGTCTTGCAAAATGAATAAATAACTCCATTAAGATTTAATTCTCTTCTAATACATGTGAATGTGGTTTATGATCGAGCACATTTGATATTCATTAATTAATTAGCTCAACAATCTGAACAATATACGTTATAACATAATACATATAGTTGGAGTACCACATTAGAAAGAATCATACGAAATCTTCTTACATTCTTTTCTTGACAAAATGTTGTACAGCATTGACCCCAAAATATTATAAGGGATTATATTCACACACCTCAAATACTTCTCTCATACCTTTTTAATTTTTTTAATATTTTCTACACACCACTAACACTTGATAGAACAATATTAAAAAATTAAAAGGGTGTGGGAGAAGTAATTTGATATGTGTGAATATAATCTCTCAATATTATATGTTTCGTGATGATGATTCATTGATTGATGATAAAATAAAGGTATACATTAACATAGAGTTCCATTCGAATACGGACCAAAGATTATTTTTGTTAAATGAGAGTAAGATATTTACGAGTTTTAAAATACCAAATAAAGATTAAATAATATTTTGTTAAATGAGGGTGAGATATTTACGAATTCTAAAATTCCAAAAATCTTGTGTTAAACAGTTATATTACTAAGTGTTATTAACCCACGAGATATATTACGTTTTAACATGAGTCAATTAGTATCAGTACGACTTTCGCAAGACCTTAATGCTTCGGAGAAAGCAAAGAAAACAAAGCATAGAAGACAAACCAACGTTCACATTTGGGACATGATTGAAACAACACTCATTTTCCCCTAAAACATCATAATTGCAATATCCGTGCAAGCTCCATGCAGCAAGCAAGCAATGGATCTGACGCATCGTGACACTGACAAGTCGGCCACCAAACGCACAACCCCTCGAAAGAAAAACCACATATTCCATCCGTCTGATTCAATCAAGCGCCACGTGTACGGTCAAAACAGAGATAAACCCCGATCAGATGGGGTAGGAGACCCATACTAGAATTTATTCAAAAAACCAAACACCCAACACCAACAGCATGCAACAAACAACGGTCGTGTTGATATGTGCTTCCGCCCGTTGCGATATGTGGAGTGTGGAGCGGAAATAGCCATTTTTCTGCCATTGGCAGATGTCTCTCTCTCACGTGGGTCCTACAAACTCAATCCCACCTCCTTCCCTCTCTTTTCCCACTAAACCCACTCCCTCCCTCCCTCAATCTCAATATCTCCACTCCACCACCTTGTAATATTTTAGTCTATAAATAAACCCTAAAATACTCCTTAACAAAAACTCCCATCAACCCTAATCATTTCGTGCTCTGCTTCTCTCAGAAACCAGAGCATCGGCATGGCCACCTTCACATTCCCTCTCTTCCTCTCTCTCCTCCTCCCAATCTTCGCCTTTGCAGCTTCCGCTGGTACGTAATATTTTTCATATATGCATATACGTTTGTTGAGATTTTCTAGCATGCACCGCTTTATAATATATATATCAAAATCCTTGTATGTTATATATGCTTGTTTATTAATTTTTTGATCCTACGTTCAACTATTCATTAGTCTATTGCATGTCATAGTACAATTTTTGTACATTTTCTGCTAATTAATTACCTTGATGTAAAATGAAACTCACTAAGTTTAATCGGTTTGTTTTTGTTTTTTATTTGCAGAAACAGGTACTGTTGGAATAAACTACGGCCGGATAGCCGACAACTTACCGCCGCCCGAAAAAGTGGTGGCACTCCTCAAATCCCAAGGCATCAACAAGGTGAAGCTCTACGACACCGACGCCACCGTCCTCACGGCCCTCGCTAACTCCGGCATTAGCGTCGTCGTCGCCCTCCCCAACGATCTCCTCTCTTCCGCCGCAAGCGACCCCTCCTTCGCCGACAAATGGGTCCAATCCAACATCTCCCACTACCACCCCAAAACCCAAATCGAAGCCATCGCCGTCGGCAATGAGGTCTTTGTCGACCCAAACAACACCACCCAATTCCTCGTCCCCGCCATTAAAAACATCCAGTCTTCCCTCGTCAAGTACAACCTCAGCTCCATCAAACTCTCTTCCCCAATTGCCCTCAGCTCCCTCAATTCCTCGTACCCGCCTTCTGCCGGAGCCTTCAAACCCGACTTAATCGAGCCCGTCATCAAACCCCTTTTGGAATTTTTAACCCAGACATCGTCGTATTTGATGATAAACGCCTACCCGTTTTTCGCGTACGAGTCCACCTCCGACAAGATTTCTCTCGACTACGCTCTGTTCCGGACCAACCCGGGAAATCCAGACTCGGGTAACGGCCTGAAATACTACAGTTTGCTAGAGGCCCAAATCGACGCCGTTTTCGCGGCCATGTCGGCTGTGGGACATGGCGACGTAAAGGTGGTGGTGACTGAGACCGGATGGCCCTCCAAAGGTGACGAGAACGAGATTGGCTCAGGGCAAGCCAATGCGGCGGCGTATAATGGAAACTTGGTGAGGAGAGTTTTGACGGGAGGTGGGACCCCCTTGAAGCCAAAGGACCCACTCAACGTCTATCTATTCGCCCTGTTTAACGAGGATCAGAAGCCCGGGCCCACATCGGAGAGGAACTACGGACTGTTTTATCCGGACGAGACGAAGGTTTACGGCATAACGCTTACGGCGGCCGGCCTGAGTGGGGACCAGTCATCTCCGGCCAATGAGAGTAAGGTTCTGGTCCCGACTGCGTCGCCTTCCGCCGGGAGCACGTGGTGCGTGGCGAATGCGAAGGCAGGGGAGGAGAAGCTTCAGGCCGCACTGGATTATGCTTGCGGGGAGGGAGGAGCTGACTGTCGTCCGATTCAGGAGGGGTCCACGTGTTTCACTCCTAACACGCTTGAGGCGCACGCTTCGTATGCGTTCAACAGTTTTTATCAGAAGAGAGCGCGCGGGACTGGCACGTGCAATTTCGGCGGTGCTGCCTACGTTGTTGCTCAACCTCCAAGTACGGAACACTCTCCTTTATTATTTCATCTCTAAATTTCATGATTTAATTAATTTAATTTTATATTATTTTAATTTCTTAGCATACCAAATTAATGGCCTGTACTAAAATTGATCAATTGTTACTCAAAAGGGTGATGGCTTTTGTTTTGCGAGTAATAATCTAGCACGCAATTAGAAGTTAGAATGGTTTTATACTAAGCATACTAATTTTGTTTTGTTTTGTTTTGTTGACAGAGTATGGGACGTGCGAGTTTCCGACAGGTTACTGAAGGAAGAAATTAAGATGAGGGTTGTTTTAGTTTGATGAGTAATTATTCTGATAGGTCTGATGTTAGTTGGGACTTATCTTATATTTTAGTGCTACATTTATATGGATTATAGAGCAGTAGAAACCCATTTTATTACATTTGTATTTGCATTTATTTATTTATTGTTATCATCATTATTTAATGAATATAGTAATTTCGATTAGTTGTGTTTGGTTTGACATATTTCTCGATGTCAATTATCTTATGGTAGGCTACAAAGCTTCTGTTCAAAATTAAAATATATGACATAATAGTCTTATTACTTATGTAGAATAATAAAAAAATTAGATTGTTATGCATAAGTTTTAAGTTACTCAGGTGCAACATATTTATCGAGAAATGAATATGACAGAGATCTATTTGTGCATTTTCTCGTAATATTTTCATTAAGCTTTTGTAGATTGGGCTCAATGGGCTCGGTTGTTGTTCAAGATCAGGCAAACCTGGGTTGATCTTGCAAACCCAAAACGTGGTCCTCTCTCTTCTGCAATTAAATGTGATCGATCCCAATTAGGATTCCGGCAATTCTTGTGGGATTGAAGCATGTCTATGATGTTTTTTTTTTTTTTTTTAGACAAACGATATTATTTATACTAAATAAAAGGAGGGGGTTATAATGTGCTAGCAATAATGTAATTCAAATTCACTTTTAATGAGAATGGAACCTAGGAGGGGGTTACAATGTGCTAGCAATAATGTGGTTCAAATTTGCTTTTAACGAGAATAGAACTTAAGACCTCTCATTTACAAGTAAAAGAGGAATACTACTAGACCATAGTACGAAGTGACAACTATGATGCTTTTAGGCTTCCAAACCCAATTTTTGGTTCTATATGAAAAGAAAACACCTGCCAATTTAGTGGGCGAGGGTTGCAATTAGACATGAAAAAATTAGGCACGACACGAAAAGTTAGTGGTTTTTGGGTTAAGCAATAAAAAGTCGTGTTAATCGACACAACTTATGTGGGGAGCATGCTGAAAGTCTAGGACCTAATTACGTTCTTTGGGAGTCTTAATTGAATGTGGGTATGTCAATATGTGGCTGAATAACCAAGCATATATTGCATTTTGGGTATGCATGATCTGAATTTGTCATTGAACGATTACAGCCAAGAAAGGAGCCTCTTTGACACTGAAAACAAAGTCGTGGCAATCATTAAGTAGTCAGAATCCACAACAAATCAAACGTAAAGGTTCCATTACCATTAACGAGAATGAGATTGAATGATTCTCGAATTCACAATATTATAACAAATGTACAATCATTAATATCCAAACCTTAAATGTTGAACTCTAAACTCATCATATTATATCAAAGATTGAACACTTACTTATTTATTTTTTTCGATTTGCAACGCTGGCAAATGCCTTATACCAAAATGTATTTTGTATTAGGAAAAATGTATTACATACACATAATATGTTTTGTATAATTGAGGTATACGCAAGTTAAAATCCAAAGAAAATGTTTCTGGTACAACATGAAGAGAAATGTGAGATCTGAATTTGAAAGATGACTTCTTCGTACCAAAAAAATTAAAACAAAATAAATAAAGTTACCGCAAATTACTATTCCACCCTTTTAATCATTGCCTCCTTGCCTACACCCATTATTCGTTGGCCTTCAAGTTTTCAACCCCTCTCTTCATTCACCCAAACCAAATTCCCTACCAAAGCAGTGAATATAACTCACCAACAAATAAAGAAAATCATATGATAAAATAACAACCATGAAAAATAGAAGGGTAAAGTACAAAAAACTACCTTAACTATTGATATCATGACACTTTCATACCTTATCTTTGAAAACCCATTAACCCTCCTGCGGAAGAAGAAGAAGGAGACGGAGAAGGAGAAGGAGGAAGAAGAAGAAGAAGAAGAAGAGGAAAAAAAGGAGGAGGAAGAAAAAAAATTTTTTTTTTTTTTTTTTTTTTTGAAAACCCATCAAACCCCAAATCCACCACTCTCATCCATTCTCCGCATCTTTTCCGCACCCATCCTCCACCTTCTCTACGCACCCATCTTCCCGCCGACGAGATATGGGTTTCCTTTTTTTTTTTTTTTTTTTCTGGATTGCAAGAGGGAGAAGAGGGGGCGGGGAGGGGGAAACTGAGTGTGGATGTGCGGGAAGACAAATTGGATTTTTTTTTTTTTTTTTTTTTTTTTTGGGGTTTGCAGGTTGGGGAAGAAGATGAAGATGGGGGAGAAGAGAGAGGAAGGGGGGAGGGGGTAGGGAGGGATGAAATGAGGGTTTTTTATTTTTAACTTTTTATTATTATTTTAATATTTAAAAAATATTAAATAATTTTTTTTAGTTTTTAATAATTTATTAATGATTTTTTTAATAGAAAGTGGGTCTCGAATCAAGCCACGTCAGCATTTAACTGAAAAGTAAATGGCTAAGTAACATAAGGTATAACATTGGACCAAATTCTAAAGATGAGGTATGACATTGTCAATTTTAAAAGATAAGGTATGAAAGTGCCATGACACCAATAGTTGAGATAGTTTTTTGTATTTTACCCAAAAAAGAAATGTACTTTTGTATTCACAAAGCAGTTAATAAAGGGGTGTGATATCCACACACCCCATTTTACTTCTCACACACCCTCCTAATTTTCGGCCATCGAATCGAATGAAACGAAGAAGATCAACAGACATAAATTAATAAGGGGTGTGTGAGGAGTAATTTGGGGTGTGTGGATCTCCTTTTTCTTCCTGATCCGAAGCCATCTCTCCCTTTCTTCCCTTTCTCCCCTGCGTTCCATCTCTCTCTCTTTCTTCTCTATCTCTCTCACCTTCACCTTCACCTTCATCCATTCTTCATCTTCTTCCTTCGTCCATTCTTCACCTTTTTATTTTAAAAAAATTTGGACCAAAAAAAATCCAGATTTTTTTTTTTTTTTTTTTTTTTTTGCAGTGGGTGCTTGGGACAAGAGCGGCGAGGTAACAAGAATGCAGGGCCTAATTCGGTGGGCCCGACACGAAGGATCGACAGGTGGGGAGAAGGGGGTGGGGAAGACGGGTGGGAAGGGTTTCTGGGTTTTGGGATTTTGGGGATGCAGGTGCCCAAAGAGAGAGAAGAGAAAGAGGCGAGAGAAAGAGAGAGAGGAGAGAGAGAGGGTGGTGGAGGAAGGTTAGGGGGGGAGGGACGGGTGGGAAGGTTTCTGGGTTTGGGGGATGTAGGTGCACATAGAGGGAGAAGAGAGGCGAGAGAGAGAGGTCCCACAATTTTATATAAAAAAATATTTTAATTTTTAATTTTTTAATATTTAATTATTAAAAATATATTTTATTTTTTTTAATCCATTTGGATTAGTAAGTGGACCCGTCTCTAGCTACGTCAGCACTTAACAGAGAAATTAACAGAAAAACTGACGGAGTTCTGACATTGGCACAAATTGGTAAGATGAGATATGAAAGTGTCGTTAAACTTAAAGTTGAGGTAGTTTTGTGTAATTTACCCTTTTAAATAATTTGATATTAAACTCGTAGTAAATTGGCACTGAAAATTAAAAAAGAAAAACACTAAACAGTAGCACTAATGTTCACTTATAATTAAGGGAATTAATACTTAACTATAGCACTAAATATGACATGCTAATTAGATTTGAACGCAATGGAAAAGCTGAAAAAGGCATTTTTGAAAAGAAATTCATAATATACAAATTTGAAAAGAACATTTGGGGGAACAAGAATGATAAAGGAAGGGGCAGAGCAATAGAGTCCGGGTCGGTTTGTGGGGGCAAGAGAGAGGTTGAGAAACCGAGAAAGGAAGAACCAAGGAAACCAACGAAAAAGAAACAACCGAAAAAGCTATTAATTTTGACCACATAAGGGCCAATTTCATCTTAGCCAGAGAACCCAGAACCCTGAAACAATTAAATTCAACACAATAAAATACAATATAAAATTAGAGAACTTGGGGTTTTTTCTTCTTTCTTTTTTTTTTTATGGAAGAAAGGTAATAACAATACTAACAACACACCAATGTTACAAAGAAAGAGGTTCAATTACAAGAGAAACACAAAATAAGACATGGACCCCCAAAACAAAGCCCAAACAAAGGTTTTGAGCCCAAAAACAGAAAAACCAAACAGCAAACCCTAAACACCCAAGTCGAAACTCTACCCAAACCCTAAACCAAACAGATCCGAAAATATATGGGGTTGAAGAAAGCCATAGCCAAATTCGAAGGGTAGGAAGAGGAAGGAAGAAAACCATGGAGGTGGAAGATGAGAGAGGGGAAAGATCGAAGACGATTAGTGGAAAATACACAAGAAAAGTGACCATAAGAGGAAAAGAAAGCAGGGGAAACCGATAGCCACCGACCCTGGCTTGAGCTAGGGCCGGTGAAGAGAAGGGATGGTTGATTTGGAAACTGCTACACACAGGTGATAAGAAACTCTCACACTAAAGGAGAGTAGACCTCTCACGAAGGAGAGAAGTTAAAAAAAAATAAATAAATAAAAAATAAAAAGGGAGAAATTGGGTTTAGGAGCCTTAATACAAAGCTACCAATAAAACAAAGCCTATTTTAAATGGGGGGTTTTAACGAAACATTTTCGGTACTGTTCATTTTTAACGAAAATGATATTTTTACTCTAAAAATCATAGTACTATTCACTTACAACACATTTTTGTCATTTTGATTAAAACTCAAAGTTTTCAAATCCTTTTCATTAATTTTCCTTTTTCCAAATTATCTAATTTGTACTTGTTCTCTTTTGTGCAAGCTATTAGCCTATTAAGCTAAGCCTTCTACATAGTAACCAAAATGAGTGTTATCAGTTTATATCTCTGTTACTTTTTTTTTTTTTTTTTTGGACAAAGGTAACTTTCATTATCAAGAAAGAGAATTATAGACAAAAGGGCCCAAATACACAATAAACACGACCCCCAACACTAAACAAAAGCCCAACCCGAGAGAAGGGCCCAAAACAAAAAACCTTACAAGACTAGATTCCTCCACCGCCGATCCAGCATCCCAAACCAGAGAGCTCACCAAACACATCCCCAAAGAAGAAGGCTCCATCGTCCTCCACCAAACGCCACACAAATCGAAACCACAGCCACCAAAGAAAAAAGCCAGAAGGAAAGAACTTTCCCCCAGCAACAAAGTCGAAAACAGCATACAATTGGAAGGTGGTGGTGTGGACACCATATAAGCCGAAGCTCTGCACACCTGCCTAGAAAACCGCAAAACGCGGGTGGAAGAAATGGTTGTAGAATCAGACATGTGTGAGAACGATGTAGGACTGAAGCAAATGGAAAAGTCAAAAAATGGCGGGCTTAGAGTCATGGAAGTGGAAAAACTTGATGGAGAAGAGGAAAATGGAAGGTTGGAAGTGGGACTGTAGGAGCGAGACCGATGAAAGGTTAGATAAGAGGTCGCAGGGGGGATTACTAAAAAAGACAGTCAGAAAAAACATGGAGAAAGCCAAGCTCACAAAGAAGGAAGAAAGACAAAAGAAGAAAAAGAAAAAGGGAGGCCACCGACCCCTGGCCTCTGCTAAGGCTGGCGGCAGAGCAAGTGGATGGAATTGGGAGCACTCACACACAGGTGAGAAAGTCTCTCACACATAGAGAAGTTCTCTCACGCAAAGAGAATGATCAAGTAGTCTTCACTCAATGGATTAATTGATGAGAAGGAAAAGGAAATTTTAAGGAGATTCTCTCAGAAGTGAATTTTTTTAAGAAAAACTAATGGAAATAGCTTGAAAACTTTGAGTTTTAATTAAAATGACAAAAAGGTGTTGTAAGTGAATAGTACCATAAGTTACTTTTTAGAGGAAAAATGTCATTTTCGTTAAAAATGAACAGTACTAGGAGTGTATCGGTAAAACTCCCCTTTTTTTTTTTAACTTCTCTCTACCGTGAGAGTTTTTCCCGTCTTTCTATAAGAGTTTTCCCCTTTTTTGATGTGTTCCCCCTCCTCTACGTCTTGATATGTCCTTCTCTTCTCATCTTTCTGGCATCCCATTACCACTTCTCTTTCCTACTCGGAGAAGCTGTTCGGGTTTAGATGATGAGTTTGGTGAGGCGATGCTCGGTGATAGGGTGGATTGGTGCATATCAAGATGTACTATTCCGATGAAGATGAGTGTAGTGGACTTCTCGATTTTGTGTTTTTATGTCGTTAGGCCTTAGCTGTTTGGCTGAACTTTTGTTGGATTGTCTGGTTGACCCCTTTTTTTGCTTGTTTATGTTTCTCTGTTTGTGGTCCTTTTGTTTGTAATCTGTATCTTTGGTGTTAATAAAATCTTCCTTGACCCAAAAGAAAAAGTGAATTTTTTTTATGGATTATCTATCACCTCATGTTTTTGGCATAATGTTTTATAAAATTAAAACTAAAATTAACGTTAAACTTTGGTGGTTGAGAGTCCACGAAGAATTCCTTTTGAGAGAGTCCACTTAGCATTTCTTGTGAGCTAATACTTGACAACTTAAACTACTTTTCTTAGCAAACCTATAATACTGCACCCTGCATCTGTGCGTTTGCGCAAGGGTTAGTTTAAAAGCTTCAAGAAGTCATTGGAGCTTTAAACGCCACCTTCTTTTGCTTCTATTTTTCAGTTGCTCAATTTAAAGTATGGTGAACTTCAAACCTTATTAGTTGCAACTGTGATGAAATGAAAGTTGTATAATCCAGTGCTCAATTGAATAATCATATTTTGCACCAGCTGTGGACAGTGCGATACATATTATGTCGATGCTATCTTCATCTTTTGTCATTATTACGTTCATATTCCACCCATGTCATTTGCATACTCCATCGACATCAGATACATATTCCCTCCAAATCATTCTGTCGAGATCATCTATATTATAGCTCTGAACATGATAGTTTCGTTTTCAGCTCCTCATTAATACAATTTTTTTTTAAACAATGGGAATTATGACATTTCAAAAATCTAATTATGCATTCTTATAAGAGGTTTTTTTTTTTTTTTTTTCCAAACATAGAAAGTTTGAGGTGCATAATTAAATTTTTTTTATGTGAACGTTTGGACAAATACATAAGTACTTATAGAGTTTTGGAGTGAATTTTGATTTCAATAATTTTTTTAATGCATTCGCCATTGGATTTAATTTGTGTTGTTAGATTTTTTATTTTATTTTTTAGATTTGATCATATTCGATCTCAATCGTTTGATTTAATGTATTTATAAATTTTTTTTTTTAAACTAAATCTGGACCGTTGGTTGAACCTACGATCCGACCATGTCGGCCGTTAAAAAAAAATAATCGTTAGTCTTTCTACAAGTGGTCGATAGCATTAGCAACTGGGTCTCAACGCTGGGTCGCAACCACTAACCTTAGCTCATTTTTAAGCTGAATTGGCCTAGAAAAAGTTTTAACCCAAAATCTATTTTTTAGCCCAATGATTAGAGAATTTTTGGACAAGTTTAGAACTTAAATTTTGAATTTTAACCCAACCATTGAGTTGGTCTCAATATAAATAAAGGGGTGTGATATCCACACACATTTTTTTACTTACACACCTTTCTAATTTTCCTCTGTCGAATCGGATTAATTGAAGAAGATGAAATGATAGAAATCAACAAAATGTGTGTGAGAAGTAAAAAAGGATGTGTAGATAACACACACCTAAATAAAAATATACTTTCATAATCACTAGGTTTGAAGTGACAACATATTTTGTAAATACAATATCTTCCCAATTCAAACAACAAACTTATCACCGAATTGAGTAAATATAGTGGAAATTCATCATCCATGACCTACAAAAGATATCTATGCATGCTAACCATCATAAGCTAATACAAAAATGCTAAACCAAAATAATCACATTGATAAGCATTGGGTAAGTTTGTCGATCATAATATTTGGCTACTCAAATGATGAGTAAGAGTTTCTATTTAAAATAGTTCTTTGTTGATTTATAGATCTTTATGTTTATGATCAAAACGGTTCATATTATAAATCACTCTATAAAAATCGTCTCTGCAAAAAAGCAATTAAAAACTAAGGTCGTTTAGTTATTGTGTACTATCTATTCATTTGCTACAATAAATTAACAAATGATCTTATTTTTAATTTATTTTTTGCACAAATAATCTTTACAAAATGATTCATAATATGAAAAGTTATGATCATAAACATAAAACTCTATAATTTAAACACAAAGAATTTTGATTAAGAGTAGCCAAGTATTGTTGTAATTGTTCTTGAGTTGTATTTAAGTGAAGGGCACTATCGGCAATGAGGGCTATCACTCAATACAGTTTTGAAGCTGGCCATTTTTTTTTATGGAGGCAGATTGTCTGCCTTATGCTCGTGTGCTTTTTTCATCTTTTTTTTATTTGTGCGGTCATAATTAAGCCATGTTAATATTTTATATTTTTATTACTTTTTGTCTTATTATCTATATAAAAAATTAATATAAAATGTAACGTGATTTAACTGTGACCGTACAAAATAGAAAGAGATGTGAATTGAAGGGCAGACAATCTGCTTATTTTTTTATTGGTGATTGTCCAAAGAAGGCTATTAAATAACCCCAAAAAAAAAAAAATCACAAATATCATTATTATTTAACATATTTTTTGTGTAGAAGAGAAGGTGGTGCTGGTGCCCTCCAGTACTTCTCCCACCCATCCCTCAAAGAAAACCTACCCCCATATCCTCTCTCTCTCTCTCCTCCCTAAAACCCAAATTTCAATATCCCCAATCAATATCCCTCCGACACCCAATTGTTTCTATGACCATCAGACTCTGAAAAGCCTGATTCTTGGCCATGAGGAGGGGCAGAGGAGCAGCCACGAGAGCCGCAGCGCCGCCGGCCGAACCCACCGGATACAGACCCAGTATTGGAAAAGAGGTCCGGTACCGAGGGGTGCGGAGAAGACCGTGGGGTCGGTTTGCTGCCGAGATCCGGGACCCGTGGAAGAAGACCCGGGTCTGGCTCGGCACGTTCGACTCGGCCGAAGACGCCGCCCGAGCTTATGATGCCGCCGCTCGGATCCTCCGCGGCCCCAAGGCCAAGACCAACTTCCCGATCTCCTGTGCTTACCCGCCCTTTTACAACAACCCTACCGACCCAGCTATCGAGGCAAAGCTTTTCGGGTCGGGTTACGGGTTTCAGGACAATCCGGTTGTACATCCTCAGAGACCCGCATCCAGCAGCCTGAGCTCCACCGTGGAGTCGTTCAGTGGGCCCCGGCCGCCGCCTCAATTTACGACGATGGCTGCCGAGTTGTCACGGCCTAAACGACAGCCGAGGACCCCGCCTATGGTTCCGGAGGACTGCCACAGCGACTGCGACTCGTCGTCATCGGTGGTTGAGGACGACGAGGATTTCGTTGCGTCGTCGTCGTTTCGCAAGGCCCCGCTGCCCTTCGATCTTAATTTCCCACCGTTGGATGTGGATGGGGATTTGGGCGGTGGGGTGGACGGTCATGATCTTCGATGTACGGCTCTATGCCTTTGATTGTTTGTTGTTATTATTATGTTGTTGATCGTTTGATGAGCATGATGATCAATCATTCAATTTTCTTTTCACTTTTAAATATATAAATTCTCTCTCTTTTTGTTTTATGATTACAAGCATGGTGTTTGATGAGAATTGCTTAAAGATTTATTTTAAAGGACTTTTTTCAAGTGAAACTCGGCAACTTTAATATGGATCGTTTAGGATTTTCGAGGAGAGGTTTGAATCCGGAACGCAATGAGATGAAAAGGCAAAAGGATTGAGTGTTCGATATGGGTTTTTTCGTTGTCACCAAGTTTTGAAACGGATTCAATTTGCATGGACAGATTTGGGGAATGCAAGGAGAAAACAAACACTCTTTGCTAATTTTGGTATGTATCAATTTGTTTAGATGGTACATTTGTAAACAAACCTCATTTGCTCGTCATTTTGCTTATAATGGAGTAAAATAAATCATTGGCCTAACTTGTTTTTCCATTAGTCCTTGGCTGTGTTATGTGATCAATTCTTTGTACCTCACTCGGCACGATAAAGCCGGCCTTGTTCAATGAGATAAAATCGACTCTACTCAGTGGGATAATGCTTGGTCCTCGTTGTTTTTTCGTTATGTCATAAAGGTGAAAATTTGATGCTCACTTTCAGCTTGTGTTGAACGCATCTTCATGTTGACATGTCTTGGAGGGTAAACAAAAACTCATTACTAATGTAATGGCTTTAAACTTAGTGCCAAATTGCACTAATAATCTACGTAGTTCACTTAAAATTTTCGCTTTGAGTAATGTATTGGCACTTTAAAAAAATTATTCTGCACATACTATCACAAAAATATGGGAGTGGTCTAAAATGATTTTTGCAGAGCGGTAATATCAACATCTTTTTAAGTTTTGTTATTATAATTGTTCCTTGGTTTCATTTTCACCGTTGTTTGATTCGTTTTCATTTTAGGTCAATTCGTCAATTAAGTTGATTTTTTCATTTAATTTTAATCGTCACATTTAAACAATTCAAGTAAGAAGAAATTTTACCTCATTTGAGACAGACTGGACTAATAGTGCTAACATAATGAAACAACAAACACAATAGTACAACAAAGAAACTACAAGGATGGATGAATGGTACAAAATTGAGTAAAGTAGAAGAAAAGGATGATATTACAAACTTGAGTAAACTTGAAGAATTATAAGTGCAATTTAGGATGTTGCTTAGTAAGAGGGGAAGGCAAGGCACGGAAAGAGGTCAACAATTTCTGCACAATACACGCCATGCACTCCCTCAAAACTAGTGGAGGCCAATATCTTTGAACTTGGACTTTAGAAATTCAAATACCCTTGAACCTGGACTTAAGAATTTTACATGTACAAATAGTAATGGTGGGGCCAGGGTCACCCCCATTTTTATTCTCTTTGAATATTAATTGTTGTGGGGTTTGTTGCTGGAGAGGGGGGATTGTGATGCTGCTTCAGCTTGAGGGAGAAAGTCCCAATAAGATAGGCTTTTTTTTTTTTTTTTTTTTTCCCCCTGAGATGGCATCTCTCTGCTGCCTGCACTTTCAAATCTGAGTGAATGGAGAGATTTTTCAGGTTAAATCGCAATAAACTAAGATCTAGTGACAGTTCTCTTCATTTGTAATTGAGAAGTTTTATATTTGAATCTCGTAGATGGTGAATTTGATACGAACTTAGATTGCTAATTGTGTGGTTTAGTCGAACTCCCTCATTCCCTTAATATAAAATACAAACAATCGTAATAAACTACATGTCATAATATAAGTAAATTAACATTGAAAAGTATCGCTCTTCACTTTCTACTTGTATTAAAAAATATGATGTACGGTGTACCACTTGTAATATAAAAGAATCTCTCGAGTTAATGACGTGATATTTTGAAATTCAACTTAATTTTGCATTGGGAGGCAGGCACAAGGCCAAGGCCAGCTAGTCTGGGTAACGTAGATTTCGTGGGTAGTGCACTAGGCAATGAAATTACAAATACAATACAAGCAGTAGCAGACACTATTTTTTCCGGGATGTGCAATAACTTTGGGCCTCTCGTTGTCGGGTTTTCTTATTCATTTTCTTCTCTTCTCATTTTGTTACTTTTTATGCGAGTAATGTCGATAAAAGAAGAACTAAATTCGAGATGTCGAGTGCATGATGGAAATGTTCTTAATGAATTGAGTTATCAAATTTATGCTTTTTTGCTTTTGGTTTTCGGGCTGGTGGTTAAAAGTTAAAACGGTTCATTGACTTGGAAAGAAAAGGAAAGTGGAAAGGGTTCACATTGATCATCAATGCAAGGGGAATTCATGGCAAAGGTACCCGACAATATTTACTCAATCCATACAATAGTTACTGCTCTTTCTTTACTTCCTCTCCGACATCGGACCAACCTTAGAGGCAAACCTTAGAGACAAATGAACAACTTACGAGCAAGGTTCTAAAAAATGCTAGGATGTAGTCGGACGACGAACTGGAGCCTAGCGCTTAGGCGGTTAGACAGACTCCTAGGGCTAGGGTTAAGAAATCTAATATCTAAAAAGGGTGCTATAGAACTCATCCTAACTTAAATTAGAATGATATAATATGAATAAAAATAAGAAAACATGGAGCAAGCTTATGGTGTTCATTTAGTATAACAAGTCCTTATAATTTAAGTAAATCTATTATATTTCGTATAAATAAGTGTTTGCTTATACTTAAATATATATAACTTCATCCTAAACTATAAAATAGAATGACATATTTATTATGAAATATTGAAACATAATGAAAACATGGAGGACAAGCATAAAATATGTGTTCATTTAAGTATTCAACAAATCTCTTATAATTTATTGAAAAAAAAATAAAATGTAAAATTAAAGTTATCTATTTTCTATCAAAATGAGTCGCAACTTAGGCGGTTGCCTAGACGAGTCTAGGCAAGCTAGGCGGTTTAGGTAGGCGTCAGCAGGTCTAGGCGCCAATTCTTAATTTTTAAACGCTTAGGCATTAATCAGGGCGATGGCCAGCCGCCTAACGCCTAGGTGAGGATTTTTAGAATAGTGCTTAGGAGGACTAAAAATTGAAAGCAAATTTTGAAAAATTGAATAAAGTAGTTCCAGTTCTTAGTTTTTTAAAAACTGAAAGTAGTATGAGTTTTCTATTTAAAAAAAAAAATGAAAACAAAAACTAAAATATGAAATGAAATATTATCAAACAACCCCTTAACAAGAGCATCTCCAATTTTTATTTTTTCACTAGCTCTCCCCTTCCAAAAATCCTAGTATGCTACCTTCAGAGTCTTCACACTCCGGATATGGTTGGGGGCTAGTGGCAACTTCTCCCTTTCTTGTCCTTCCTCTCTTCCCCCTCTCCTCCATCATAGCCTTCTCTCCTCTCCTTTCCCATCCGCGACTCTACTTTCTGACCCTACATCACCTGCCTTTCCTCAGCCTCATCTCCCCCTCAGTTCCATGGATTTCAGTCTCATACCCAAATCCATCATCTTGCTCTTTATGGTCTTTAAGAGTAGTTTCAGTGTATAAAGGCTTCCCATGTCAACAAGCAATTGAATCCCTCTAGTGAATAGTAACTACCTTTAATGAACAGTAATTGCCTTTTACATTTATACCCCTAAACTGGATAGCCTAGACAATTTGTACTAAAATATTAGTATTTTTTGCTTATAAAATAATAAAAAATAATTTTATTTTAAATTTCGGATAGGATTTTAACCGATCTCGTTACGCCATGTGTCATTATCCAAAAGTACAATTTTTGTGGATAAGTTTCGATAAGATTTTTAATCAATTTCGTTGCGTGAAGTATCCTTACTTGTTTAAAATCGTTGAAAATATTGAAATGTGGTGTAAGGTGGGAGAAAATGGTAAGGTATTTATAGAAAAAATTTTGAAACTTTAGGATTTTTAATTATTTTAAAACTTTTTTTATTAACCTAATTAATCTGAATTGTTGGATTACAAAAAATTTGTAAGCCAACTGTCCAGATTGTGACAAGTGGCCTACCGTAACATTTCTTTTTCTTTTTTTTTTTTTTTTTTTTTGTAAAGCGGAAAAACAAGGATCGTTGATTTGGAAATCAAGCTGTTCAGATTCAACAGCTACTGAGCGGGCTACCACGCAAGCCCCACCGCCTGAAATCTTGTTGGTGACACGCCCCCCCACGCATGTGTGGTTTGCACGCACCTAAGGCAAATTTTTTTATAATGTAGCTGATGTCATGCTGACGTCAGCCTTGTATCAATCCCTCCTCAAGCGCTTAGGCTTGGGACTTGCGCTTGAGCTCTCCCGCTTGCTCCTCTTCAACCCAATTGCCCAAATGGGCTGACATCACTTTGGCATGGGATTGGATTGCAAATGGAGTTGGTCTATAGAGCAAAAGAGCAATTTAGAGTTGCTCTAAGTGGAAGATGAACTAACTGATATGGTTTCAAGAATTGCCATAGGAGATTGTTGATTTGTTAATTAGAGATTGTCCTAATCTATGAATTAGCGCAAATTTTTTCTTAACCAAAGTCCATATAATATAAAAAGCACTCTATCCTCTAACATGTTTATTCATTCAAAATATATCAGTGTAAATGGTTTTTTTTGGTTAAATTACACTTTACCACCTCAGGTTCAAGGTTTATTGTAACTTCATACAAGTTATTAAAAAAATTTCACTTTCATATCTTACGTACTATTTTATTTCAATATAATACATTTGTTATATTTTCTATTTGTTGGTCCATTAAGTGCTGATGTGGCTGCCAATTTTGTGCCATGTGGCAAAAATTTTTTTTTTTTTTATACATTTAAAATATTATAATAATTTACCATATTAAAAAAAAAATTTTGAAACCCAGAAACTGAGAAACCCGTTCCCCACGACCCACCTCCCCCGCAACCCCTCACCCTTCCCCCAGCAACGCCGCTACTGTCATCCTCCGGAAACCGGACAAGAACAATGGGACAAACGTAGTGATGAACACAATAATCGTTGACACTCTCAAGCATACCATCAGTCCCACGCTTGGTGGCGCCGAACCCTCAGCTCCCCATGATCACAGCACTGAGCCCTAGCCTCTCAACCTCCAAGCAGAGCCGCTCCTTCATGTCATGGTCCTTGACGATGTGGATCTTGTACGGAATCTGCGCCTCCTTTAAGGGCTTGGAGAGATTGGCGACCTTGGAGCTAGTGAAGGCATTGAAGGCGTTCTTGAGTTTCTTCTGTTTGACGGAATCGTGCAAGGTGTGGTTGTCGACGAAATCGACATCGTCGTTGGTGTTGATGGAGAGGTCGACTCAGCCCCAGTCGGAGCCGAAAAGGACGGAGGTGGGGCTGACGTGGAGGAGGATGACGGCATCACCGTCGTCGAATATCGGATTGGGGATGGGGGAAGGGGTTGCGGTTGATGGGGGATGAGGGAAGGGGTGGGCACGGGTGGGGATTCTGGGAAGACGAAGGGGATCTGAGTTTTTTTTTTTAATTTTTCTGTAAATAATTATTTTAATATTTTAAATTTTTTACTTAGTTTTTAGCCATGTGGCATAAATATGACAGTTACGTCAGCATAAATGTGATAGC